TTTTTCTCCGGTACCAGGAACCGAACTCACGACCTTGCGCTTGCCAGGCAGGCGCTTTTTGCCGCTGAGCTAAATCCCCAGCCCCGATAGTAACTTTTTCAAGAAAATGAATCTCACGAATGTTGGGTAGGCCATGGTTTCTATCACCTTTTTTTTTTTTTTGGTTGTACTAAGGATTGAACCCAAGTCTTCTCACATGCTAGGCAAATATTCTACAACTGAGCTACAAACCTAGCCCTTTTAATTAATTAATTAATTACATTAGAAAAAATTTTTTTGTTTTTGGTACTGGCAGTCGAACTCACAACCTCATACTTGCCAGGCAGGCACTGTGCCGCTGAGCTATCTCTCCGGCCTGCCCTTTCTATTTTGAGACAGGGGCTTGCTAGGTTGCCCAGACAGGCTTCAAATGCAGTCTTCCTGCTTTAGTCTATAGAGTAGCTGGAATTATACCTGTCCACCCCTGGCTGTCCCATATCCTTTCTTTGATCTCATGTTCATTTCCAATAGGACAGTCATCTATTAGTGGACAGTCATCTATTCACCCATTAGTCGTTCTAAACCATAATGACATTTTAGAATGTCATTTGAAATACTTAGTCTTGTAGGACAAATAAGTAGTTTCCCTCTTCTTGATAAATGCACATCAAAATACTAGTTTATAATTTATGTTTACACTTAATATAAAGAAGACAAGGAGTGGAGGAAGACACCCAGTATTTGAGCTCTAGGCACTGCATTTATGTGCTTTCCATGTTTTCTTATTTAATCCTGACATCAACCCTGAACATTTATTACAGTTGAAGAAACAGAGACTCTGAAATGTTACATAACTTACCAGAGTTCACACAATTCTGATTTGGTACCGGGAATCAAACTCAGGACCAGCACTTGCCAAGCAGATGCTTGTGCCACTGAGCTATATCCCCAGCTCAAGTTCACACAATTCTAAAGTGGAGCTGCTGAACCTCAGATCAGACTGATTCCAGATCTTGCTTCTTCCATCATACTATCTAACCTCCTAAAGTCATCATCACATAATTATATCTTTTCTTCTACCATTTCCCTTGAATTTGTATTCCTGTAAATATAGATCCCTGAAAATGTAAACTCTTAAAAGGAAAAAAACAGAACTACATTTTTCTTTTACTAGTATACATAGTAGCAAAAGGGCTTCATAAAATGCTTTAATGATACTTTAATAATGTTTTCAAGTATTTTGATTGATAACTTTGTAAACAATCTAGTTAGTAGTCTCTGTTTACATAAGAATGTCATTAAAAAAACAAGAAATAATCAGAGTTATGTTGCCATGGTTGTACCCCAAAGAATATCCTACAAGGAAAAATTATATTACATAAAGGTGAAAATATTAAAGAAACATATTAAAGATTTGAGGATTTATTTTCTTTATTTTGGTAATTGGAGATTTATAGTGTTTGCTGTGATAGTGCTTGCTTCAGCAGCACGTATATAGTGTTGTGATAATGGTGTTGTTTTTAGCAGTTACAAATAGGACATTAATATTGTGGTTTAGGGCCCTGTCCTACATAATTATGAATGCCTCTGGTGGAATTGACATTGTTCTTTCCCTCCTATTAATTATAAAATTTAAATTTTGTTTCTTTTTTTTAACTTATTAGGATATGGTTATACAGGCTCTTCAGAAAACTAATAATAGAAGTATAGAAGCAGCAATTGAATTCATTAGTAAAATGAGTTACCAAGATCCTCGGCGGGAGCAAATGGCTACAGCAGCTGCTGCCAGACCTATTAATGCCAGCATGAAACCAGGTGATTAATCAAGCACTTTTTTTTGTAGTCTGTATTATGATAGTTTATAGCACTTAAGTGTATCAAATCTTTGGTCTTAGAAATTGGTAAAAGCATCCCAATTAATTGAAAGTCTCAAATTAAGATCATAATGTTATATAGTGTTATACCAAAATGATTTTGAGGTTGGGACCTTCACATTTAAAAGTTAATAGGTAATTGTGATAAGTAGCAGTCCAGGTTGAGAACTGCTTGACTGGTTATATTTCAACTGGAACACATCCCTTTTTTATGCCCAAATACCATCATTAAAATTCCTGGGTTTGGTTTTTTTCTTTTCATATTTTTTCATATTTTGAGAGCAAAATGCATTTATCATAGAATATTCAGACAACAGTTAAGCAGAAGAAAACATCGTGTGTATGTTTGTGTATGTGTGTGTATTCCTGGGGATTGGACATAGGGCCTTCACACTGAGCTATATCTATCCTTAGCCCTTTCTATTAAAATTTTTTTTTATTTTGAGACAAGGTGTCTTGCAGGGTCATTAAATTGCCCAGATTGGGCTCAGACTTGTAGTCTTCCTGCTTCTGTCTCATGGATGGCTAGGATTACAGGTATGTGCCACTATGCCTGGTCAATCCCACTGTTAACTGCTGTTTTTTTTGTCTTTTTGAGACAGGGTCTCACTATGCAGTTCAGGCTGGCCTTCAGCTCACTTTGTAGACCAGACTGGTCTCTAACTTGCAATGATCCTCCTGCCTCAGCCTCCCAAGTACTGTGATTACAGGTGGCGTGCACCACCATGCCTGGTTTAACCACTGTATTTTGGAATGTTACTTTTTTTTTTTTTTTTTTGGTGGTGTGTTGTCCTTTTTTCCTAGGGGAAACCTGAATAAGTTTGTATATATTTTTGATTCTTATTCAGGCCAAAAATGGTATCATACCAATCCTACCTTATTCATTTGATATACTCTAAGTTTATTTTTTAAATGTTCTAAACATTTTAATTTTAATTTTTTTATGTATATGATGCTGGGGATTGAACTCAGGACCTCACACATGCTAAGCATATACTTTACCTATGAGCTATATCCCCAGCCCTACAAAATAATTTTAATAGCTCCACATACTTTATTTAACCAATCTCCCATTTTTATTTTTTTTTTAACTTGCATACCTAAATCTTTTATACACCTAATGATTTTCTAAAAATAAATTTTAAGTATTTAGAAAATGTTTGTGATTTCCCATAGATATTGCTGTCTGGTAAGGTGGTACCATGTAAGCTAGGCATAGTGTCCACACCTGTAATCCAGCACTCTGGAAGGCTAAGGCAGGAGGATTGCAAATTCAAGCCCAACCTGGGTGATTTAATGACTTAACAAGAACCTGTCTCAAGAGGGGAGGAGGGGATGAGGGGATGGGGAGACAGCTCAGTATGGAGCCCTAGGGTCAATCGCCAGTACCTACCCCCCAAAAACAGATGGTACCAACTTGTATTTTCTCCTGTCTGTTGACAGTAAGGGCACCAAATTCAGTACTATGTATTTTTTTCATTTAATTGATACTATTGTCTCATTTTACATTCATATTTCTTTGATCATTAGTGAACATGTAGCCAGGGATATAGCTCAGCGGCACAAGCGCTTCTCTGGCAAGTGCAAGGTCCTGAATTCGATTCCTGGTACCCCCCCCGCCCCCCAAAAAAAGGAACATGTAATAGTTTTGTGTTTTGTTTGCAGTATTGGAGATTTAACCCAAGGAGTGCTGAGCTACTTCCCTAGTCATTTTTATTTTTTATTTTGAGACAGTCTCCCTGAGTTGCCCAGACTGGGCCTTGAATTTGTAGTCTTTCTGCCTTAGCTTCCTGGGATTATGGGAATGTGCCACCATGCCCAAAACAGTTTTATTTGTTTCTTCATTTGTTTGTTTGGTGAGGGAGATTGAATTCAGGGCCTTGAACATGCTGATAAATGATCTACCAGTGAACTTTTTTTTTCTTTTTTGTCTTTTTGGAACAGTGTCTTGCTATGCAGTTCAGGTAGGCCTTGAGCTCACTTTGTAGCTCAGGCTGGTCTCAAACTCACAACGATCCTCCTGCCTCAGCTTCCCAGGTGCTACGAGTATAGATGTGCATCACCACACCCCCACTATGCCCAACACAGGCTTCTTTTTGTTCTTGGAAAATACCAAGCTCCCACCTCAGGACCATTATCCAGTCTTAGCTCCTATGTCATCTTTCAGAGGAGCCTTTTCTGACTGCTGATTTTCATTACTTTCTGTCCTATTTCTCTCTTGCTCTCATTTGACACCATTTATGTGTTACATAAAGAATTTATTATGCCCTGAAATTATTTTGTTTATTCACTTGTGTCCTCCTCTGTGAATATAGGTTCCCTGGGTTTAGGGGTATTATCTTGTTCACAATGTGTTTGGATTGCTTAGAGGAGGCCCTGGTATATAGTGGATGCACAATAATGAATAAATTCAAACCATGAAAGAAGAAAAGCAATACAGAGAGGAGAAAGAAGTGATAGACCCCGAATTTATACTAGATTAAATGTGCCATAAAGAGGATTAATCTTGGAGTTCTTGATGAGGTTGAGGAACTTCTGTAGTAGGGTTAATCAAAAGTGGAGGAATTGGAGAATACAAACCTTGTATTACTCATTATGAAAGAAGAATAGATAAGAGTGATACCAAAATGTGAAATACTATCTTAAGAGTGATACTTGAGTTAGAATGGAAGGAGAGGGTGAAGGAGCTGAAAGATGAGGGTAGTGTATGGTTCATCCATGAGGATGTTGAGATTATAGGCCTTAGGGTATATCAAATGCCAAAGTTACAGATGAATGAGAAAGGCAGTAGGAGTTAACTAGGTCAGGGAGTGAACCTGGCTGTCCAGCTACAAAAGCTCTGGCTTTTACTGTTTGCCATGCTGGGGATGGAACCCAGGGCTTTGTACATGCCCCGCAACCAGAGGTGGTTTTTTAAAAGGAATAATGATCTAGAATCATAAATGGAGAGCAGAGATGTAGAATCTTATCTTTTGGGCCTGTTTATTTTTAAGGAAAACCTTAATTTCAAAGGGCTGAAGGAAAGTAACATCAGCAGAAGAAAAACCACCTTGAAAATAGTGACAGGAGGCCGGATGTGGAGGCTGAAGGAGGAGGATCATTGTGAGTTCGAGACCAGCCAGGGCTACAAAGTGAGCTCAAGGCCAGCCTGAACTGCATAGCAAGACCTGTCTCAAACAAACAAACAAAAAAAGAAAATGGTGACAGGAAAGCTGGGAATAAAAGTCAGTGACAGAAGAGCAGTGGCTGATTGTGCAGCAGAGCAGTCTGGAAGGTGTGGGGAAGAAGTCTGGAAAGTAGAAGAATGCAGAGGGCTCTTACAGAGGCACAGGACAGCAGGGATGACTATATACTCCAGGGCTGTAGAAACTGGCATCTTAACTGATAAAAGCTGGATGAAAGACATGGTGGTTTTGGTCTCCACTGACCATCTAAGGAAAGTGAGCCTGGCTAGAGGACTTGTATGGCTTGCCCAGAGTGAGGGTTTTCCCAAAAGTAACAGATCCAAAAGCTGCCCATCCTACCTAAAATGCAGTGTTAAACTGTATATTTTGAATGTTTATTGCTTTTTTTCTCATATGTGTTGTTATACATTTTCTCCTAGGATAATAGTGATCTTTCACATTTGTAGGTGTTCCTTGTTTTGTTTTGAATAGTGGTAAGTGTTTTACATATTTAGATCTCCATCTCTGTCAGGCTTGGGAAGATCTTCCCAAGAGGTATAAAATAGGTACCCCCAAACTACTGAAAGGCTTGTTCTTTTAGTGTTTATATAGCTTTATCTTTAATATTTAATCTTTAATCCCTCTGGAATGTATACTTTAGTCTTTTATACTAATGTATTGTAGTAGTGAAGGGAATTCCTCCTCCTGTCCCTGAAGGTTCAAGTCTTTAAGTCTGTTGAAATAAATTGACAGTAGACAGATTAACATGAGTAAAGGCATACAAATTTATGTGTATAGGAGCCATATGAAATATAAAAGCTCAGAGAGGCATCCAACTGTTGAAACTTAAATATCTTCTTCATAGAGAAGAGGAAAGTGTAGGGGGTGGACAATTTTAGAAGAGTAGTGAATGATTTTTAGAGGAGGTGAATGAACCCAAGAATAGACAGTGGCTTCCGACAAAGTTCCTCTGGGTGCTAAGTCTGGAATTTGCTTTTCTGTCACTTCTCCTTTCTGGCTAACAATATTCCTTAACAATCGCAATCCTCTGGGAAGGGAACTGCCTTACTCAGATAAAGGCTTAGAGAGAAAGGATCAGTTACCAGAGAGAGAGAGAGGAGGGGAGAAAAAGTCAAAGAGACTTTAATTCTAAGACCCGTCTCTCTAGTTCAGCGTGTCAAAGCTTTGGGGTAGCATTTTCTAAGCCCCAACAGAGTATATTTTTAATGTATTACATGTTTTTCCCAAGTGACCAGACTGTCCCAATTAAATGTTTCATTTTTTGGTGTTGTATACTTTCTTGCTTATTTCATTAACTTGGAAATTCCATTAAAGACAGACCCTGTAAAATCCATATCACATTACGTATTCAACTGATTATCCCCTGCTAACTTTTTTGTTTTAAAAACCGTATTAAGATTAGCAGTTACGGGGCTGGGGATTTAGCTCAGCGGCAAAGTGCCTGCCTGGCAAGCGCAAGGTTGTGAGTTCGGTTCCCGGTACCGGAGAAAAACCAAAAAAAAAGAAAAAAAGATTAGCAGTTACATCTATCAAAATTACAGATGAACATACCCTCTGATTTAGTAGTTTCCCCTCTAATATTTATCTACAAATACACATGCATATATAAAAAATGACATCTGCACAGAATTTTTTATGCCTCTCAGGTATCTTCCTGATGACATTGTTTACCTTCAAGGAAGGAAATTGGTAGGCTAAGGGACAGTCAGGGTACCATTTTGTATCTTGTAGATTTTGAGCAATGAGATTGTATTACCTAGTCAAAAATAACATTTTTAAAGGTAAAATAAAACCACTTACTGAAATCTGACAATATTTTCTTTTTGCAGTAAATTGTACTAATTAACATATGGTTTACTTCATGTAGTTGTTGTAGTGAGAACACCAAATCACAACAGTTTTGAAGAATAAAAAAGAAAGAGGAACTAGGGTGAGGGAAAGGAGAAAGGAAGGGAAAAGAAAAAAATGCAAGATAGTGAAAAAAATGCAAGATACTACTAATTTCTCGTAATTCATTGAAAAGAGAGGTTTGTGTTAGTATCATTTGGGGAATTTTTTACGCCCATATCTTGTACTCTGAGTAACTGCTTTAAAGATAACAATACACAATGTATTAACTGTTATTCTCCTATTACTTGGTTATAAAATTTTTTCCTAATTTTTCCAGTGCAATACATTGTTACTAACAAATTACCATGTTGTATAACAGATTTCTTTCCTTTTTTTTCTTTCCTTCCCTTCCTCCCTCCCTCCGTTTTCTTCTTTCTTTCTTTCTCTCCTCTTTCTCCCCTCTCTCTCCCTTCCCTTTCCCCCTCCTTTTTCCCTCCTCTTCCTCTCTTCCTCTGTTTTTTTGGGACAGGGTCTTGCTGTATAGCAGACTTCTTTCTTTTAAACATAATGTGTCTAATTTATTTCACTTAAAAGTATAGTCTCAAGGTACATCCATATACTTGAAAAGTCTCAAGTTTTTTTTTTTTTTTCTCTTTTTGAGACAGGGTTTTGCTATGCAGTTCAGGCTGGTCTTGTTTTTTTTTTGGTTTTTCTCCGGTACTGGGAATTGAACTCACAATCTTGCACTTGCCAGGCAGGTGCTGTGCCGCTGAGCTAAATCCCCAGCCCCTCAGTCTGGTCTTGAACTCACTTTGTAGCCTAGGTTGGTCTCAAACTCACAACGATCCTCCAGCTTCTCCAGCCTCAGCCTCCCAAGTGCTGGGATTACAGGCATGTGCCACCACACCTGGCAAAAGTCTCAAGTTTACCCTTCTTTATGGCAGAGTAGTACTCCATTGTATATAAACACCAAATGTTCTTTATCCATTCATTTGTTAATGAGCATGTAGGCTGTTTCCAAGATTTAGCTATTATAAATTGTGCTGTAAACGTGGGCATGCATATATCGTTGTGGTATAATGTTTTTATTTCTTTGGGGGAGATACTAAGAAGGGGAATAGCTGGGTCAAATGGAACTTCTAGTTTCAGTTTTTTGAGGAATCTCCATACTAATTTCCAAATTGGTTGTACCAGTTCACACTCCCGTCAACAATGGTGAAGGGTCCTTTCTCCCCACAGCCCCATCAGCATTTGTTACTGGTTGATTTCTGTTTAAAATTATTATTAATTTTATTGGTACATTTTAGATATATATAGTGATCACATTCATCATAGGGAATATGTACCTGTACTGTAGCAGATTTCTTGAAGTCATTCCTATTCTTAATAGTTCTTGAAAGAAAACTGAGTAATATTTGGAAGTTGATGTTCCAGATTAAGTTCTTCAAAACTAAGAGGTTAAAAACATGATTTTTCTCTCTTTTATGATCATAGGAAGTGTGCAACAATCAATTAACCGCAAACAAAGCTGGAAAGGTTCTAAAGAGTCCTTGGTTCCTCAGAGACATGGCCCACCTCTAGGCGAAAGTGTAGCCTATCGTTCTGAAAGTCCCAACTCACAGACAGATGTAGGAAGACCTTTATCTGGATCCGGTATAACAGCATTTGCTCAAGCTCACCCAAACAATGGACAGAGAGTAAACCCCCCTCCACCTCCTCAAGTAAGGAGTGTCACTCCACCTCCTCCTCCAAGAGGCCAGACTCCCCCTCCACGAGGTACAACCCCACCTCCTCCATCATGGGAACCAAACTCTCAAACAAAGCGGTATTCTGGGAACATGGAATATGTAATCTCCCGAATCTCTCCTGTTCCACCTGGGGCATGGCAGGAGGGCTATCCTGCACCACCTCTTAACACTTCCACCATGAATCCTCCTAACCAAGGGCAGAGAGGCATTAGTTCTGTTCCTGTTGGCAGACAACCAATCATCATGCAGAGTTCTAACAAATTTAACTTTACACCAGGGAGACCTGGAATTCAGAATGGTGGTCAGACTGATTTTTTGATACACCAAAATGTCCCTGCTGGCACTGTGAATCGGCAGCCACCCCCTCCATATCCTCTGACACCAACTAATGGACAAAGCCCTTCCACTTTACAGACAGTGGGATCTACTGCGCCTTCATCATATACAAATGGAAGCATGCCTCAGTCCGTGATGGTGCCAAACAGAAATAGTCATAACATGGAACTTTACAACATTAACATCCCAGGACTGCAAACAACTTGGCCTCAGTCGTCTTCTGCTCCTGCCCAGTCATCCCCAAGCAGCGGGCATGAAATTCCTACATGGCAGCCTAATATACCAGTCAGGTCAAATTCTTTTAATAACCCATTAGGAAATAGAACAAGTCACTCAGCTAATTCACAGCCTTCAGCTACAACAGTCACTGCGATCACCCCTGCTCCTATTCAACAGCCTGTGAAAAGTATGCGTGTATTAAAACCTGAGCTACAGACTGCTTTAGCACCTACCCACCCTTCTTGGATACCACAGCCAGTTCAAACTGTCCAACCTAGCCCTTTTTCTGAGGGTAGCACTTCAAATATGACTGTTATGCCACCTGTTGCTGAAGCTCCAACCTATCAAGGTCCACCACCACCTTATCCAAAACATCTGCTACACCAAAACCCACCAGTTCCTCCATATGAATCAATAAATAAATCTAGCAAAGACGATCAGTCTAGCTTGCCCAAGGAAGATGAGGATGAGAAAAGTTTTGAAAGTGTTGATAGTGGGGATAAAGAAAAGAAGCAGATTACAACCTCACCTATCACTGTTAGAAAAAATAAGAGAGATGAAGAGCGAAGGGAATCTCGTATTCAGAGTTATTCTCCTCAGGCGTTTAAATTCTATATGGAACAACATGTAGAAAATGTCCTCAAGTCTCATCAGCAACGTCTCCATCGTAAAAAGCAACTAGAGAATGAAATGATGCGGGTAAAACCTTTTGAAATACCTATTTTAATATATCAGATCATGTATTGGTATTTATTTTAAAATATTTTGCTCCAGTATTTTTTTACTTCTTATAACTAAATGTAATATATTTAAGTGAGCAAACTGTAAAGTACGTTTGACTATAGCATTTTATATTATTTCAAAATTTACTCAGAATTTCCTATAAAAAGTTTTTGTGTAAATTAAAAATATAACTGTACAGCCTACAAGTTTAGGTGTATACTATCTCTTTTTATGGAAATTGGAGAAATTTCTAGGCTTAAACATTACTTTAGAACATTAAAAATCAACTACGACTATCTAGATCATTCTTAATATACATAGGAAACATTTTTCATGAGGCATGGTGGTACATGATTGTAATCCCAGCACTCTGGGAGGCTGAAGCAAGAGGATCCCTAAGTTCAAGCCCAGTCTGGGCAACTTAGCAAGACCCTGTCAAGACCCTGTCTCAAAAATATAAACTAAGAGTGGGGGCTTGTTCGGGGATGTAGCTCAATGTGAAAGCTATAAGTTCAATCTTTAGTACCAAAAACAGAAAAAGAAAATAAATGTTATTTTACATTTCTTATTAGGTGTAAGTTTTTTGGATTTATTAATCATGTAGGTCTAATTAAAAAGTGTCAGAGATGTCTCCTTTCAATGATGTACTCCATCTAATTTTATTTTTATAATGTCCTAGAAAAAAATACCCAAATTATTAAATAAAAGTGTAGTATAAAGGAATCAGAATAAATAAATGCTTTGGTTTAATCTGTGTTGTGATTTCACATAATTCTCTTCAATAAATACTATGGTAGTACTATCATCAGCTTTGTTTTTGTTTTTTTTCTTTTGGTACTAAAAATTGAACTCAGGACCTCATGCTTGCCAGGCAGGTGCTGCGTTCCTAAGCTATACCCCTGGCCCATAAGCATTGTTTTTATCATATATTTACAATTCAAAGATTTGACTCCTAATCTTACATATACCACTGAGAATCCAAGAAGCTCTAATTTATGATTCAACTTCTTGAACATACTTGAGAGAACTATTCTTTTAAAAATGATGATTCCAGCCAGGCGTGGTGGTGCACGCTTGTATTCCCAGCACTCAGGAGGCTGAGGCAGGATCGTTGCAAGTTTGAGACCAGCCTGGGTTACAAAGTGAGCTCAAGGCTAGCCTGAACTGCATAGTGAGACAATGTCTCAAAAACACACACACACAAAAAAAAATTCCAAATCTGATTTTACCATACAGTATTATTATTCTCACTATAAATTGAATTGTGTTAGATGAGAAATACCATGACAACATCTGGCTTACTCATATTGTAGTTCTTAGAATTTCTTACTAGAGTCTGTCTGTATGTATTTTCTTAGTTTATTTTTCCTTTTTCCTCTTCACTTTCACTAATAGCTGATTTAAGCTTTTATGGTGTTGGAAGCTTTGCTGACTTCTGTAGCCTCCATTACTGTGTAGGCAAGTAAGATTTTAAGAGAAACAGTTCGGTACTAAATCTGGCATGCTAGCCTTTCTTAAAGATTTTGCATGCAAATATGCATCCTAACAGAAGCATGAGATTGCTATATTGGAATTAGTCTTACATTTCTAAACTTAGACCCTACATTTTCAGTTGAATTCTTTTTGTTTAGACCCTTTAGTTCTTTAGCCAAAGTAAACTTTTTCCTTTCTAAATCTGAGTATTCCATATCTACTTAAAAGGTTTTTTTTTGTTTTCATCTGCTTTTTGATGTCTTCGTAAGTCATGCTGATTATTCTTTGAAATATTCCAGAATATCTAAAAGATACTTTCAACCAGGCTGTCCCTTCTGAATGAGATAGGAGAAACTCTCAGTGTTAGTGGATGGCTGTGACTCCTATTCTTACTCTAATGACCTAGGAAAGAGAAAAGACTGTGGGTAACTAGTTTATTTCTTGAGAATGGGGGAAAGGGTTGGTAGGTTATAGAAAGCATTCCTTTGTTGTTTGCAGTGAATCATTTTTAATACATGAGACTAGAGTACAATTTTTTTTCATGAAGGATAAAATGTGAAGAAGAATGTCTAAGGCGTAGGCATGCCACAAAAGGAAGCATTTAATAAAGGCAGTCTAATCCTGTAATTTGGGATGAAGCCAGGTATGTTGGCACATGTCTGTAATCCTAGCACTCTGAGATGCTGAGGTAGGAGGATCACAAATTCTAGCCTAGTCTGGGCAATTTAGTGAGACACTGTCCTGAAAAGGTGGGGGTGGGGGGTGCATGGAGAGAGTTGAAAATGCATGTTAACAGGCATTTGTTTTATTGCACAATTGGAAGCTACTTTTGAGTGTACTAGAGAACAGAGAAGGCTGCCTGTTGGTATCTTATTTTTGATCTCTATAGCTGAATTTGCATATATACTCACTTGTATATCCTGTTAACTATTTCTTAAGCTGCACTTCTGATTATCAGTTTTCTCTGAAATATATTCTAGATTTCTAACATGCTTTATTAAAAATTTTTATGCATTTAACCTTTATACTGTATGCCTGAATTTTTTCTAAGCTACTTCTTAATATTCAATATTGAAGAAAATTCCTCGTTTAACATTTAGTTTATTTACCCAGGTTGGATTATCTCAAGATGCCCAGGATCAAATGAGAAAGATGCTTTGCCAAAAAGAGTCTAATTACATTCGTCTGAAAAGGGCTAAAATGGACAAATCTATGTTTGTCAAGATAAAGACACTGGGAATAGGAGCATTTGGTGAAGTCTGTCTAGCAAGAAAAGTAGATACGAAAGCTTTGTATGCAACAAAAACTCTTCGAAAGAAAGATGTTCTGCTTCGAAATCAAGTCGCCCATGTTAAAGCTGAGAGAGATATCCTGGCTGAAGCTGACAATGAATGGGTAGTTCGCTTATATTATTCATTCCAAGATAAGGACAATTTATACTTTGTAATGGACTACATTCCTGGGGGTGATATGATGAGCCTATTGATTAGAATGGGAATATTTCCAGAAAATCTGGCACGATTCTACATAGCAGAACTTACCTGTGCAGTTGAAAGTGTTCATAAAATGGGTTTTATTCATAGAGATATTAAACCTGATAATATTTTGATTGATCGTGATGGTCATATTAAATTGACTGACTTTGGCCTCTGCACTGGCTTCAGATGGACACATGATTCCAAGTACTATCAGAGTGGTAAGTAAACAAAGTTTTTTTAGTTCATTATAATGTGATTTATTTATGCAGAATAAGAATAAGATGGTATCATCACTGGATAGGAGCCAAAAGATCTGGGGTAGGTCTTTACTCTGCTGAATAAAATGAGGTGAATTCTTTATGTACTTAGTTAGATTCATAGAATGAAAGAGTCTTGTATTTATTTATTTATTTATTTATTTATTTATTTAACTTGGTGTTTTGAGACAAGGCCTTGTTATGGAGCTCAAGCTGACCTCAAACTCAGTCCTCTTATCTTGGCCTCTGGAGTGCTAAATTTGATTGTTTCTAAATATTATTAACATTTGTAAGTTAACCTCTTTAAAACAAAATTTTATTTTATTTTATTTTATTTATTTTATTGTATTTTATTTTAATTTGTCTTTTTGAGGCAGGGTCTCCCTGTGCAGTTCAGGCTGGCCTTGAGCTTACTTTGTAGCCCTTACTTCCTCCTGCCTCAGCCTGCCAAATGCTGGGATTACAGGCATGCACCACCATGCTCGGCTCAAAATTTTATTTGGAAATATATCAGACAATAGTTTTGAAGTAATTTTTAAATGAAGTTCCATATCTACCAAGATAATATTTTAGGCTACCCTAAACAATCACTTTGTCTTTCCTCCATAGGTAACCATTACCTCAGAATTTTGTAATCTTTTTTTTTTACTTTTCCCCACATTTTAATCATGTATGTATATATCCCTAAACATTATGTTAATTTAATTTTGTTTGAAGTTTTTCCATGTTACTGTATAGAACAGTTACTTTCACTGCTATTTAAGGTTCCATTATGTGACTGTCACTCAATTTAATGCTAAACATTTTATGTATGTGATTCTATTTAATCCTGTGACACTGTGAGGCATTATCAAGAAAATGAAACTTTAGTTAGCTGAAATAACTTGCCCAAAGTCAGACAGAAATTAAATGTAAGGGCTAGGCCTTCAATCCAGATTTGTCTGATTACAGGGCCCATATTATTTCTACCATACCACACTGCCTCACCAAGATCTCTTCAAGTGCTAATGCAAGTGTAAGTTGATGTAACATTTGTTGAATACTTAGTATATGCTGGGTACTTTATATATACTCTAATAGTCCCAGCAGTTTTCTGTGGTATTATTAGCTTCCTTTGTGAATACATGCAGATTTACATTAAATATACAGAATTTAGTGTCTCCCCAGATTCATATTAATTATTTGTGATTCTTGTTAAAAATAAGATTCCTAGGCTCTATTCCAGTCTTTTGAGAAAAAAATCTTCATGAGAGAATCAAAATCATATTTTAATGAACTTCCCAGATACAACATAATCATTACAGTTTGGTTAATTTCAGATACATTTCTATAGGTGACTCTATCCAGTCATGGCTTTAAGTACCATGTAATATATGTCAGTGACTTCCAAGTCTCTCTTGTCAGAAATGGTCTTCTTGAAATCACTGATTTCTGTATCCAACTGTCTCCTGGATAAATCTCCACACTGATTTCAAATAGGACTTCCAAATTTAACTGGCTGTTCAAAATTAACACTGCCAATAGGGAATTCTTAACTACTATACTACATCTGCTACCCTCCAGTCTTCCTTGTTTCAGTAAATGGTGCCGTCACCACCCACCTGGTTGTCCTGATTCTTTTGTTACCCATACCCTTCACATTTAATATATTAACAAGTCTTGTTTATGCCACCTCTAAAATATATCCTGAATCTATTCACTTCTCTGCAGCTCTGTTACCACATCGTTGTCCAAGCTTACATGTAATAGCCTCTTATTTTTTTATTGTTTGAGGTGGGGGCGGGTCTCATTGCCCAGGCTGGTCTCGAACTCCTGGACTTGAGATCCTCCTGCGTGCTGTATACTACTACTTTTACATGGCTTATAACAGCTCTGTATCTATCTATCTATCTGTCTGTCTGGCTATCTATCTATCTGTCTATCTATCTATCATCATCATTTGCAGTACAGAGGACTAAACTCAAGGCTTTTTGCCCTGAGCTACGTTTCCAGCCCTTTAAATTTTTTTCTTTTATTTTGAGACAGGATTTCACTAAGTCACAAAATTTTCCAGGCTGGGGTGGAACTTGTGATCTTCCTGCCTCAGCCTCCCGGAGTGCTAAGATTATAGCCCTGTGCCATCACATCCGTAATATAGCTTCTTAATTATTCTTTTTTTACTTTTATCCCCTTGTCTGTTTTCAACAACGTAGCTAAAGTTTGAGACAGGGTCTCACTATGTAGTTCATGCTGGCCTTAAACTCACTATGTAGCCCAAGCTGGCCTTGAACTAACAGTGTTCCTTCTGCCTCAGCCTCCTGAGTGTTGGAATTACAGGTCTGTGCCACCATGCCTGGCTAAAATTTGCTTTTTATAAGCAAAAGTCAGATCTTGTCACCTTCTTGCTTCAGATTCTTCAGTATCTTTTCATGACAGAAAGCCTTGTGTGCTGGCTTCTGCTTGACTTTCAAATTCTTCCCTTTCTCAACTGTACTGCTCTTCTTTCTGTTGTCGTTTCTTTGTGGAAAGCCTTGCCCTGATTTTTGAATGATTGAGTCTTCCTTGTGTTTCACATCCCAGCAAATGCTGCCTTCCCAATTGGGCTCCCTTGCTACCCAGGCTAATATGGCTGTCCAGTCACATTTGTCTTGTCACTTGGGCTCACTGTCTGTGTGGGACACTTCACCATGTTACATTTCCCCAGCCCTGTTTTAAAATAAGAGACAGGTCTTGCTATGATGCTCTGCCTGGCCGCGAACTCCTGGGTTCAGGTCATCCTACTTCAGCATCCTAGGTAGCTGGGACTGCAGATGCAAACTGCCATGCCCAGACTATTTTTTTCAGTTTTTTTTGTGTGTTTTGTGGTGCTGGGGATTGAGCCCAGTGTCTTGTGTGTATTTAAACGTATACTCTCACACTGTATACCCCACTATCACTGTTCCTTAAATGTGTATATGTGTGTTGTGTTGCGTATAAGTTGTCTGAGTGAAGAACTTTTTTACTTTTTATTTTTGTCATTTGTTGAACAAAACACTGATCTAATTTGTTTGAAAATTTGCCCAGAGTAGCAAGCGCGATCTTGATAACATTTTTACCTAATATTAGGGATTGAGTCCAGGTCTTTATACCTACTAAGCAAACCCTGTACCACTGAGCTATACCTCAACCCTTTGAATAATATTCATGAAGTTAGCTGCTCATGACTTACCATTTAACACTGAGTAAATTACTGACTCTTATATTCTTCTTAGTGTAAAACTTTTTCTAGTGATATCTCTGAAAACTAGTCCTTGTTAGTATTAAACACTACCAGTGATTTGGCAGTTTGTGTTTTAATTTGTCATAAGGGAGAATGTTAACCCTAAATCAAGAAATGAAATGATTAATTAAACAGCGTTTAGGTTTATCTTTTCTTTGTTGCTTTACTTTCTTTTTACTGTATAGGTGACCATCCACGGCAAGATAGCATGGATTTCAGCAGTGAGTGGGGTGATCCCTCCAACTGTCGATGTGGAGACAGGCTAAAGCCTCTGGAGCGCAGAGCTGCTCGCCAGCACCAGCGATGTCTAGCACATTCTCTAGTTGGGACTCCCAATTATATTGCACCTGAAGTGTTGCTACGAACAGGTAAAACATTTCTTTATTTCATAAGTAATCTCAATAGGCCACAACTTATGACTATGCCCTATTTTTCAGGTTTTAGGAAAGTATTGCTCTGACAGTATAAATTGATGATTTGATGTTAATGCTGATTGTATTAATTCCAAGCATTTAAAAAGATTGCTTATAAATAACTATAATTTTGGTATCTTTAGGCTATACACAGTTGTGTGATTGGTGGAGTGTTGGTGTTATTCTTTTTGAAATGTTGGTGGGACAACCTCCTTTCTTGGCACAAACACCATTAGAAACACAAATGAAGGTAAGGTATAGAACCTATACCAAAATAATTGTCACAAAGTCCTATATCATATACCATTATTTATTAGTACAGGTTGAGTATCCCTCATCAGAAATGCTTGAGGTCAGAAGTGTTTCAGATTTCAAATTATTCAGATTTTTCTTTTGTATATATATGCATAATGAGATATCTAAACCTGAAATTCATTTGTTTTCTTGGTTTGTTTGTGTGTTTCATGGTGCTGGTGATGGAGCCCTGGGTCTCATGCATGCTAGGCAAGCACTCTATCATTTATATTTCATATACACCATATGCACATAGCCTGCAGGCAATTTTATACAAAAAGTACAGTACCTACCACTCAGCATTAGACCCTTGGACTTTGTTTTGACTGTGACCTGTCACCTGAGGCCAGGTGTAGCACTTTCCACTTGTAATGTGATGTGAGTACTTAAAAATGTTTTAGATTTCAGATGGGCGTGGTGGTACACATCTGTAATCCCAGCACTTTGGGGGATTGCCAAATTTGAGTTTGACCTGGGCAATTTAGGGAGAGTCATTGCAAAGGCCCTGGTTCAAGCCCAAGTATTTATTGTGCTTGAATTTTTTTTTTTTTTGGTACTGGGAATCAACTCAGGACCTTGTACTTGCCAGGCAGACACTTGTGCTGCTGAGCTATATCCCCAGGCCCCTAACCCCAGTATTTAAAAAGAAAAAGAAAGTCTTGAATTTTAGACCATTTAATATTTTAGAGATTTGGATAGGGATGCTCAACTTGTACTTCAAGAGCACCTTAATCTGAAATTAAAGGTTTGTGAATATTTGTGCTAACATTGTTTGGAAAATTAAATACCTATATCTTGTACTCTGAGTAAGTAATTTAAAGATAACAATACAAAATGTATTAAGCATTATTACCCTCCTATTACCTCATTCTGAAATTTTTTTCCTCTTTAATATTAGAAAAAAAAAAAAAAAAAGAGTGAACCCAAGCTAGTTGTGGTGGTGCATGCCTGCAATCCCAGCACCTAGGAGGCTGAGGCAGGAGGATCACTGTGAGTTCAAGGCCAGCTCCTACTACATAGTGAGAACCTATCTCAAAAAAAAAAAAGAATAAATCCACTAACATTTCATGTATGTACTCTAATGTTTAGTATCCCAACTATCACTGTATTTTTATATTCACTCTTACACAGTATACTCATGTTTTATTGTCATAAAGGTCTTTAGTTTCATTTGAGGATTTATTCCAGTTACTCCTCATCACTACTACCTCCTAGCTTTATCATCCTCCATGCTCATTCTAGCCCCAAACTACAAACAAATGTCTATATTTGCTCCTGAAAATAACTCAGCCACTTAAATGAGAAGTTGACCACAATTTTGACCATATATTATTTCTACCTAAAACCCTGGAATGCTTCTTTTGTCTTTTTTTTGTGTGTGTGTTTTTTTGAGACAGGGTCTCTCTATGCAGTCCAGGCTGGCCTTGAGCTCGCTTTGTAGCCCAGGCTGGTCTCGAACTCTCAAGGATCCTCCTGCCTCAGCCTCCCGAGTGTATGCGCCACCATGCCTGGCTGTAATGCTTCTTTTGTACAAGGGTTAAAACAAAGATTTGTCCTGTATTTTTTTATTCAGACCATTCCCTCTCTCTGGAATGTCCTACCTCTGTTTTGTCTACCACAACTCCATCTCCTTTCTGATGAAACCTCCTTACTTTTTGTTTGGTTTGGTTTTTTTGAGACAGGGTCTTGCTATGTAGTCCAGGCTGGCCTTGAATTCATGGCAGTCTCCCATTTCAGCCTCCCAGGTACCGGGGTTGTAGGTGTACACTATCAAGTCCCACAAAATCTGCTTAACTCATAATCATTCTTATGTCTTGAGGTGACACCTCTTCTGCATCCCCCATAAC